TTAGAATGTTATTTCATAAAGCACAATTTTATTAAACCATTGTATTGAACCACTTTCGGTTGGTTGGTCAGTGACACCGGATGACTATGGCCCTCCCCCCGTTTGCGGGCCCTTGGATGGCCCTTAGGTGTTTCTGCTGATAGCTGATTTTGAGGGCTTCCTCCATCTCAGCACTTCCTCTATTTTTTAGTGCCCGGGTGAAGGAGCAGATTGCAATGGGAAGCAGCCGTCGGTGCTAGTGTGGCGTTTCGCTTCGAGGCGCCGCAGCTGGAGTAGATAGGCCGCAGCGACATCTCTCACGCAAATGAATGGCGTGGCTGCATTCGAAGCTTCTATACGGCTCAGTTTTCGGCTGTATTCTCATTGTTTAAGGCGTAATAGAAACTAGGAAATACCGAATTGTGAAGCACTTGTTGTTCTGGACACCTAGTTCTTTTCAAAGGCTTGTGTTATTTGTCACTACTCGATCGAGGAGCTCGCGAGTCGTCTTTTAGAGTGATACCAGATAGCGCATGCCAGTAATCCACAGAAGGTCGCTTTGTCACCGTGGCGTTGGCTTGACTGAGACTCGATTTCTTTAGTAACTGAAAGTTGATTTTTGAGAGAAGCCTTTGCCAGGAGATAATATTAAAGCTTGGATACCTAATGTTCTCCGATGCTAGCTACTCTCTAGGGGCATAGCACATTATGCGCAAGCTTGGAGTTCATGCACTAAATAGCACAAAATGCCACTAGATTGTTTCCAGGGACATAGGTCATCATCCGTTCCCTTTGCAGAGCATTACATTTGTGGCCACCGAGAGAAAGCAAGTGTCAGAAAATAAAAAATGACGAATTATGGCATGTAATTTCACCATTTTAGAGCTTAAACAATGAAATCATCGTGAAATAAACAAGAACAGCTGTGTATGCAGCGTGATTTCTGCGATTATGGCCTATGTTTTAAAGAGGCGCTGTTAAAGTCTGAAGTCTAATGCCGACTTTCAACTTTAGCCAAGGTGACAGGCGTGAAAAATGCGGCCTGTGGTCAGTTATTGCTTGAGCTTGTCTGTGTATTTGTGGAGGAATTGTTGTAGCTTTAATATCCGGCTGCTCAGCTCTGTTTCTTTTGCCTAACCTCTAGTCTCTTAATTCAGTAGAGAGCAGAGCAGGCCAAATGGCTGCGTGGTGCCCATGGGCTCCCATTCAGCTTCGCGGTGTAACGTTAGCGTTGCACACGGCAGTGATCGCGAGGCAGCGTTGCTACTGATTGACTTATTTGTTGAGTGTTCGGATGCAGCGCATTCCCTTGTAGTTATACTGATTGCCTTGTTGCCAAACGCGAAAGGTAGTCTTTAGCCACCACTACTTGTAATCTATAAAATAGTAGATTTGTAAATGACCGCTACATATTAGAGTGTAGTATGAATATTTATTAGGAGACCGACTGTTCTGCCTGATTACAGCGAGCAAGCTCCCCCGAACACCAGCGGAAGCTGCAATTTTATGGAGCTGTAGAAAGTTGATTTCCGGCAGCGTCCGGCGTCTTCTTGCTTTGGCAGTGTGAACATGAGTGATGCAAGAACTCATCATTACGAGAAAATGTCATCATATGACGTCACATATCATAAATGTTTGTGACGTATCGGAAGGTCACATAACTTGACGGCATGATATGACATCTTTGCTTCGTTGAAATGGGTCGATCATGAGGGCAGTGCATAACCAGCTGAGGGGCAAAAAGCTAGCTTTGTCTCCTATCCTTGAGGCAGTAAAAAAAACCATGGCGTAAAAATATCCCGGATAGAAGTATGAAACATTCAGTGCATTGAATCGAGAAAAAAAAAAAAAAAGACAAGGATAGTTCTTGTTTTTCAGTCCTCTCAGGCGAATCCATAAGGGGATGGCGAGTTTTTTTTTTTTTGTAACTTAATGAGAAATAAAAAAGGATAATCTGATTTTTTTTTTCGTTAGATATACGCAGTTGTACACAGCAGTATTTTGTACTGCTGTGTACTGAGGCATGAAAATAATGAGGTTGCAATAGCTTGAAAGAGAAAATAAAATGCGAATGCTATAAATCTCAAATGCATATATCAAACCGACAGCAAGGCCCGACATTCCAGTGAAAACATCGCGCCGCTATGTTCGCGCTACTTTTCATTCCCGCTGTACACAGGAAATCCCGCGAGAAGCACGGATGCAAATTAACTCGCATGGAAAGATGAATTGGCGAGCTTGCTAATATGCGTGACCATCCAGCGCCAGCTTTCCGTAGTATACTCGCGCAGCGCCATCATGCGGAAGCGGCGAGTGGAGGCGCAGAGCGCGCTCGACAGCCTGAAGAGAGCGTTCACCCGGGCACTGAGGAAAGTTGAGGAGGTGCTGTCCAAGTCCTGTTGTTTATAAAAAAAAAAAAGGGTCCCAGACTGCTCAAAGGTGCAAAAATACCCTGCTCCAAAGTTCTCCTAAATGGACAGTTTGGCGTCTCCAGAGTGCTTCGTACTTAAAATCTCAGCATTCTGAAAATTACTTCAAATCAAAAGACCTCGGTAGATTCACAATGAGAGGTCGCCGTGGAGTGCACCTGTCTTTTTCAAGGCTCCAGCTGAGTTTCTTAGTGCTTGTGTGGATGCATGCTTCATACACTCTCCTCCAATCCCAAACAAAGGAGAAGGAGAGGGAAATTGCGAAAGTGCATGCAATCAGATGCCGCCGTAAAGCGGACTCGTCCTTTTCAAGGCTTCAGCTTATTTTCTTGGTGCTTGTGTGGGTGCATGCTTCGTACACTCTCCTCCAATCCAAACAAAGGAGAGGGCAATTGAGAAAGTGTGCACAATCAGAGGCTGCCGTGATGTGCGCTCGTCGTTTTCAAGGCTTGAGCTGATTTTCTTAGTGCTTGTGTGGGTGCATGCTTCGTACCCTTTTCTCCAATCCGAACAAAGTAGAAGGAGAGGCCATTTGCGAAAATGCACGCATTCAGATGCCACCATGAAGTGGACTCCTATTTTTCAAGGCTGCAGCTTATTTTCTTCGTGGTTGTGCTGGTGCATGCTTCGTACAGTCTCCTCCAATCAAAACAAAGGAGAGAGAGAGGGCAATTTTTGAAGTGCATGCAATGCGATGCCCTCGTGAAGTGCATTCGTCTCTTTCAAGGCTGCAGCTTATTTTCTTGGTGCCTGTGTGGGTGCATGCTTCGTACACTCTCTTTCAATCCAAACAAAGAAAAGGTCAATTGCGAAAGTGCGCGCAATCAGAGGCTGCCGTCACACGCGCTCGTCTTCTTCAAAGCTGCAGCTGATTTTGTTAGTGCTTGTGTGGGTGCATGCTTTGTACACTCTCCTCCAATCCTAACAAAGGAGGAGAGCGCGGTTGTAAAAGTGCATGCAATCAGATGCTGCCGTGACGGGCACTTGTCTTTTTCAAGGCTGCAGCAGCTGATTTCCTTAGTTCTCTTGTGTGTGTGTATGCTTCGTACCCTCTCCTTCATTTCAAACAAAAGAGAGGGCAATTGTGAACGTGAGAGACAAATGAGAGGCTGCTGTGAAGTGATTCGTCTTTTGAAGGCGGCAGCTCATTTCTTTAGTGCTTTGTATAGGTGCACACGTATGCTTCGTGCCCTCTCCAGTAACCCAAACAAAGGAGGAGAAGGCGATTCTGAAAGGGTGGGATAATGAGAGGCCGCGGTGAAGTGCACTCATCTTTTTCAAAGCCGCAGCTGTTTTTCTTGGCGGTTGTGTGTATGTTTCGTACCCTCTCCTCTAATGCAAACTAAGCAGTGAGCAATTGTGAAAGTGCAGGACAATGACAGGCTGCCGGGAAGTGCACAGGTCTTTTTCAAGGCTGCAGCTGATTTCCTTAGTGATTTTTTGTGTGTGTATGCTTCGTACCCTCTCCCTTAATTTAAACGAAGGAGAGGGCAATTGCGAACGTGCGAAAGAATTGGAGGCCGCCGTGAAGTGATTGGTCTTTTTCAAGGCTGCAGCTCATTTCTTTAGCTGCTTTTGTGGATGCACGCGTATGCTTCGTACCCTCTCTTGCAAACCAAACAAAAGAGAAGGAGAGGGTGATTGAGTAAAACCGGGACAGTGAGAGGCTGCTGTGAAGTGCACTCGTCTTTTTCAAGGCCGCAGCTGATTTCCTTAGTGGTTGTGTGTATGCTTCGTACCCTCTCCTCTGATGCAAGCTTAGAAGTGAACAATGTGGTTGCATGCTTTGTACACTCTCCTCCAATCCAAAGAAAGGATAAGGAGAGAGCAATTGTGAAAGTGCGTGCAATTAGATGACACTGTGGACTCGTATTTTTCAAGGCGGCAGCCTATTTTCTTTGTCCTTGTGTGGGTGTATGCTTCGTACATTCTCTTCCAATCCAAACAAAGGAAAGGGCAATTGCGAACGTGGGGGGCAATGAGAGGCCGCCGTGAAGTGGACTCGTCTTTTTCAAGGCTGCAGCTAATTTCCTTAGGGGTTGTTTGTATACTTCACACCCTCTCATCTAATCTAAATTAAGTAAACAGCAATTGTGACAGTGTGGGACAATGACAGGCTGCCGTGAAGTGCGGACGTCTTTTTCAAAGCTGCAGTTGATTCCCTTAGTACTTGTGTGTGTGTGTGTGCATGCTTCGTACCCTCTCTTTTAATGGAAACAAGGAAAAAGGGGGGCAAAGGGGGGGATAGTGAGGGGCCTCAGTTAACACCACTCGACTTTTTTAATGTCGGAGCTGATTTGCTTAGTGCTTGTATGTGTATGCTTTGTCCCTCTCCTTCAATCCAAACAAATGAGAAGAGTGTGGTGTGACGTCGAAAGGGGGGAGGGGGTGGGGCACGATGAGATGCCGCCGTGAAGTGGACTTGTGTCTGCGAAGTGTGTATACACACTAGCGCTAAAGAAATCATTTCAGGTTTTTAACATGCGCACTTGTTGAAAGCATCGGCTCCACGATTTCAACCGCCTCTGTTACGAATTTTCTCATAGCATATTTTCATGCTTCGTTTTTTGTCTTTTTTTTGGACTTGTGCAGGAATGTGTCTAACACAACGTGTCCACTGTGCCGGGAGGAGTTTGAGAGCACCAATGAAACCTGGGTCATCTCCGAGGCTCCCGAGTCATCAGAGGTGTTGAGTGAAATGCAGAAGGCTCTGTCCAAGTTGCCCGAGCAGGAGAGCAGCATTCCCATTGTGAACTGATTGTGCTCAATCTAGAGACTGCCGCCTGCTTGACTTTTTCTGCTTGCAACTATGAGGCCCTGCAGCACTAATCATAGAATAGGATTTTATCAGTTCACGTATTGACTGCTGTAAATGTTTTTTAAGTCTGTTGAGTGCGGCGGGGTTGTACGTTATGCAGCGCCCCTTCTTTCGTTCCACGCTGAGATGGCAGTGGTAATAAGAAGGCATTTTAGTGTTCCTCATGAGCAATTTCTCATCTCATTAAGAAAAACACTGCCGATATGATGGCAAGCAGGCTAGTGCTGGATCATATTGGCTCTGCTTGGTGGAGGTGGAAACTGTGCAGTGGAAGTTCGTTCAGTTGTGCCCAGCGGAGTTCTTTATGTGGTTAGCACAGGCATTATCGATTATCCTGCGTCGGTTCACCGAAGGTTGCCATTCCTTTTTAGACAGTGACGACAGTGAAGATGGCAAGTGATGACTGGCAAGTCATCCTTGCTTTTAATGCTTGTAAAAAAGACAGCGTGTGTAATGACGAGCGTACCACTGGTTTTGTGTACAACAATATGTGTGCATCAATGAGTCCTATGGTAGCAGCGTCAATACAAGGTGAGTGATCAGCTGAAGCACACGTTGCTTGAAAGGTCTCGAGCTCAGTGCATGTGCCGCCGCTCATGAATGTAAAATAAGACAAAATAATGGAGACAACTGAGATAGGATGTGCATCTTGTTTGTAAGAGAAGACTGAAGACACTATTTTTGTTTTCCTGTATTTGTTGTGTTAACAACATTGCGTTGATTGATAGTGTGAGGTTTAACGAATAACATTGCATACTCGGTTACTTTGATACCTAGGTAAAATTCTTTACCACTTAGGAGACTCAGACATAATGTGGCCGACATAGGAACCAGTATGTGCTGCAGTTTTTATTCTTTTAGATTCCTGAGCTGTATGCCACACCGAAATTTGTAATTGTGTTCTTACTATGATCGCTCTCCCATACAGACTCGGTGACCATTTAGTCAAGTTTTCATTACAGCGCCTGCAGGACCTGTCCCTTTATACGCTGATAGTATCAAACAGTTGATATACGTGTCGCCTTTCATTTTTTATACAAGTAAGCTTTTTTTAATAAAAACGATTTGACAGTCATGCTCTATAGTCGCCTTCCCGCACGTACGATATGTCGGGGCTGAAATACTTTGCCGCAACAAAAATCACATTGACGAGACTAATCAACGAAAGATCGCAAGTTAGCTGCTTAAATATTGACTTGAGGACAATTGTTTATATTACAAAGTTGTTGTACACGCCCATTTATTGCAGACTTAAGTTTTTGAATTTGCGACGGTTGCACATAAACCAAGATATTCAGCATAGATGGAGATGAAAATGTTTGAAGTCTGTGTCCTTAGATCCAGATGCACATTAAAGAACCCCAGGTGGTTGAAATGTCCGGAGCCCTCTACTAAGGCATCTCTCATAATCATATAGTGGTTTTGGGACATGAAACCACCATCATCATCATCATTAGCCTTACTACGTCCACTGCAGGACAAAGGCCTCTCCCATGTCCTGCCAGTTAACCCAGTCTTGTCCTTGCTGCTGCCAATTTATACCCGCAAACTTCTTAATCTCATCCGCCCACCTAACCTTCTGTCTCCCCCTAACCCGCTTGCCTTCTCTGAGAATCCAGTCAGTTACCCTTAATGACCAGCAGGTTATCCTGTCTACGCGCTACTTGCCCGGCCCATGTCCATTTCCTCTTCTCGATTTCAGCTATGATATCCTTAACCTCCGTTTGTTCCCTAATCCACTCTGCTCTCTTCTTATCTCTTAAGGTTACACCAACCATTTTTCTTTCCATTGCTCGCTGCGTCGTCCTCAATTTAAGCTCAACCCTCTTTGTAAGTCTCCAGGTTTCTGCTCTGTAGCTAAGTGCCGGCCAGGTACAGCTGTTATATACCTTCCTCTTGAGGGTAGTGGCAATCTACCTGTCATAATTTCAGAGTGCTTGCCAAATGTGCTCCACCCCTTTCTTATTCTTCTAGTTACTTCAATCTCGTGGTTTGGCTCCGCGGTTATTACTTGCCCTAAGTAGACATACCCCCGTATTCACAAACGCTCCTCGACTCGACTTCCACCCTTCACTTGACAGAGTTGAGCACGGCGCCACCGCTCTGCTGCAAATTACGCTGTGCTACTCAAGAATCGCAGCTGATTATCACTGATATGCAGGGACTTGCCGTGCCTAGAGATGGCGCTCCCATCGGCTTTTTCAAGTGAAGGTGAAGCGTTGAGTGAAGGAACGTTCTAGAATACGGGGGTTAGTCTTTTACAACTTGAAGTGCACTATTACCTGTCTCGAAGCGCTGGTCTTTTCGAGCTTGTTGTACATTACTTTCTTTTTCTGCAGATTAATTTTAAGACCTACCTTTCTGCTCTCCTTGTCTAACTCCGTAATCATAAGTTGCAATTTGTCCCCTGAGTTACTCAGCAATGCAATATCATCGGCGAAGCGCAGGTTACTAATCTGTTGCTTTCTTTATGAAGCACTATGGTAGCAGTTAATCCCCTGTAGATTTCTTCCAGAATGTTTATATATACTTCATCGACGCCCTGATTTCGCAGTGTCTGCATGCCGGCTGATGTTTCTACTGAATCAAACGCCTTCTCGTAATCTATGAAGGCTATGTATAGTGGTTGGTTATATTCTGAGCATTTCTCTATTACCTGATTGATAGCATGATTGTGGTCGATTGTTGAGTAGCCTGTTCGAAATCCTGCTTGTTTCTTTGGTTGATTGAATTTCATTGTTTTCTTTACTCTGTTAGCAATAACCTTTGTAAATATCTTCTGTACTACTGAGAGCAAGCTGATCTGCCTGTAATTCTTCAAGTCCTTGTCATCTCCTTTCTTATGAATTAAGATGATGTTAGCATTCTTTCAAGACTCTGGTACTCTTCCCGGCAGGAGACATCTCGTAAACAGGGTGGCTAATTTTCTTTAGCAGATCTGATGTTACATGATCCTCACCAGAAGCTTTGCCTCTTTGCATGCTCTCCAAAGCTGGCTTCTATCATTACTGGTGGGGTGTCATCTGGGTTACTGCTAGTTGTTATAGTATTAAAGTCCTGGTTGTCCCGGCTACTGTGCAGATCTCTGTAAAACTCCTCCGCCATTTTAACTATCCTATTCATATTGGTAGTTATTTTGCCTTCTTTGTCCCTTAGTGCATACATCCGAGTTTTGACTATCCCAAGTTTCCTCTTCACTGCTTTGACGCTTCCTTTGTTTTTCCGAGCGTGTTCAATTCTCTCCATGTTACATGTTCTCTCCATGTTCTTACATCGCATACCTTACGCTTATTAATCAACTTCATCTTATATCTTTTATTCAGAAATTTATTTTATTGAAACCATAGATAGTGGGATATTCAGCTAGAATTTTAAAATTGCAACGTTAACCGATCATGCCTGGCGTGGCACTTTCTGTTACGTCAGACTGATACTTCGAGCGATGAGGAAGTGACAAAATTTAAATCTAGGTGCGCCGCAGCGAACTGTCCTCACGAAGATCGACAAGTATTCTGAAATATTGTTTGGTGCCGTGTGTGGCGCTGCTAAGTGTCCTCATAAAAAAAAAAACATATAAACAGGAGCGTAAAAGAACTTTTTGTGAGAAGCATTGCAGTAGGTGCCTCAGGGTTATATACTTTACAGGAAAGAAAGCACAGACGGATGCTTTGGCTTCCTTAAGCAAAAAGAAAGAGGTGATCACCAAACACGCAAATGTATCCATTGGCTCAAGCTGCCAGAGTGGACAAAAAGGTGCGGCCACAACGTGTGTTCATTCGAATTCTGTGTCACAGCCGGGTAGGTCTAGGTGTAATAATAGAGAGGTGCATTCTCTGCACGCCGGGTGCAGGTATTCACGATATCGCCCTTAAAACTTGATGCCGAATATCTTAGAATAAGTGCAGATTTCTGAACTTATAAAAAAGGGGTGCGTCTGTGGGCCAAACTAACTACTACTGGTTTATTGGTAGTGTATTTAATGTTTAGGGGAGATTTTTGCAGAGGACAAATGAAAACACTTGTCTATCTCGTGGGGTCTCGCGATGAGACGCCATGCTGTCGGAATGCACAGACACAGTAAGTGCAATTGGGCAAAACACTTTCACAAACAATGATATCGCCAGCCGAATTAAATACATCTCTAGTGACATGCTGAAACAACATATAACTCCAATACTCTCAATCAATATAACAAACAAGCTAACGTGAAGGTGGCGGTGCTGATATGCGACTCGCCACGAAAGGATCTACTGGGCACGACCTGCTGTCGCCGTATGCCGCGGACTCCTTATAGAGACGTCCATTCCGATCGCCGCCCCAATGCTAAAGAGACTCAGTTTGCAAACGTTTTCTGCGCGGCCACCTAGTCTCGCCGTTGGGTGGCGTTGCTACGCTGTAAACCCAAGAGTTGGTGGCTTGCGGAAGTTAAGAGAGCCATAGCAAACGTCTGGAAGCGTCTAGGGAACACAGACATGCTAAGCAGCTGGGTGAACCGACAGATGATGTTGAAAGAAAATGGGACATCTTTCTAAGCTGTAGAAGGGAAGCATCTGTTCTGATCAATGTAAAGATTTGAAGAAAAGGGGCTCAATGGCTGGCAGAAGTACATAAGAAAGATAGAAAGACAGCTGCGAAATTTTGGAACCGTCTAAACTCCTTAAGAAATGAGACGAGCCTAGAGCAGAGGTTTATAACTACAGCTCAAGGTGCAAGGCTAGAAGGGGACGAAGCTATTGAATATATAAGAACATGGGTGACAGAAAAATTTCAACAAAGAAGGTGCAGCCTTATGCACCACAATAGACAAGGACAGAACAAGTGGCGCAATGGCTCCATTTTCACGAGAGTGGGAAAGGGCTTAGAAGAGAGTTCCTAGCAGTACATCAACAGGCACAGATGGCATTCCAATTATGCTGATAAAGACATTAGGTCCGAAGTCATAAGCAGACTTTGAGAGAGATAGTGAGCAAAAGCAATTATCGATGGTGAAGTCCCCGATGGATGGAAACTTAGCAGGATGACCATAACCTATAAAGGAAAAGGGGACAAAGCTGACAAACAACTACCGTCCTATAACAGTGACATACATCATTGGTCTAAAGGCTGGTGATGCAGATTATAAAGGAAAGACTGCAGGCATGGATAGAGGATGATGGGGTGCTGGCGGAACTGCAGAATGGGTTTCGGAAACACAGGAGGTTGGAAGACAATCTGTTCTCATTGACACAGTAGCACAAAAGGAACACAGGCCCCTGTGGCTAGCATTTTTGGATATCAAGGGAGCGTACGATAGTGTAGTTCAAGAGGACTTGTGGGGAATACTGGGCACACTAGGTGTGGAAGTTGGAGTCACTGAACTTTAAAGAATATCTATAGAAGTAACAAGGTAGTTATAAAGAGGGAAAAACAGCTATCTATGCCCACAGAGGTAAAACGGGGGCTTAGGCAGGGGCGTCCTCTGTCACCCTTGTTATTCATGATGTACCTACAAAGATTAGAGGCCAAAGTAGAGGCAAGTAAACTTGGCTTCAACCTCTCTTTTGTCAAACAAGGAAAACTCATTGAATAGGCGCTACCAGCAATCATGTACGCAGATCATATAGGGCTAATGGCCGATAACACAACAGATAACACAACAAACAGATAAATAGCAATATCTGGGAGTATGTATAAACAATAGTACCGAGTACCTAAGGGAACACGAAATGCACGTAACAACTGAAGCTAACTGGAATGCAGCAGTGATGAAAAATAGGGCACTGTTGAATTAGAATAGGTATGTATGATATTGTGAGAAGAATATGGAAAGGGTTCATGGTTCCTGGGCTGAGGTTCAGCAATGCGGTCTTGTGCATGAGATCAGAAGTTCAAGCAAGATTAGAAATTAAGCCACGTGGAATAGGTAGGCTTGCTTTAGGAGCTCACGGGAATACTCCAAATCGGGGAGTGCAAGGTGATATGGGATGGACATCATTTGAGGGCAGGAAAGCTAGCAGCAAGATAAAATTTAGGAAGCGATTGAGAGAAGCGGGGGAAGAGTGTTGGGCTAGGAAGGTTTTCAGCTACTGGTACATGA